AAACAGCAGAACCACAAGGTCTGCCCTAAGAGGGGACTGTGTAGTACCTCTTAGGTCCAGTTCCTTTGGTAAACACTGTTTCTCTGTGAGGGCATCAACACTTTGGAACACAATACCGATACAGATAAAGAATAACACCTCCTATCATACATATAACCACTATCATAAGAACTGGCTTTTAAGCAATCAAAAATGTGAACACTTTTAACTGTATTTCATCTGTTTGCATGTTTGTCTGTTCCTATTTATTGTTGTACTGCTGTTGTCTGTTGTATTTTTTTTAATTATGTTTTTATTTCTCTAGTCTTGTTGTTGTTATTTAACATCTTGCCAAGGACAACAGTTGAAAATTAGCCTGCTGGCTAATACTTGCTCATTTACAGCAATGTGGATTAATGTGCACTGTCCTTTAAATAAATAAACAAGTAAGTAAACAACTGCTATTACTGTAAACTGTGTATACGTATGCATGTGTGTGTTAATGTGTCTGTGAGTGACACCCCTCTCCCCTGAGATAACTAATGATCATTTTTCTGCAGCTCAGTGGGCAACAGTATCTCAGTTTCTTTTTCTCTTTACTTACATCTGTACAGTACATGAAATGTACATATATATATATTACTTTGTAAGTGCAGTTTGTATTGGCTCTGTCATCAGCTGCTATATATTTTACCTTATGTTATAGTAGTTATGGTTTTGGCTTTGGTTGCTGTGATATAGTAGTCATTCCAAATTGTGGCCCATGTGCTAATTGTTTGAAAAACACCAGTGAAAACAATCTTAAATTCTTCTTTTCTGTTTTAATACTGTTTGAACTTCTGATTACTATAAGATTTGGAGTGAAGTAATAGAGTTCCCTCTATGGGACACCTGTGTACTCTTTAGCAAAATGTCAAACAGTGGACCGCTGTGGCATGCTTTTAATTTCCATTTGCTCTATTTAGTTTGTAAAATTACTTAAACTTTTGAAGACTTTCAAACTTTAAGACTGCAATGCTCATTATGTACTGTTATGTATTCATTTTACTTTCCTAAAGCAAATCACATTGACTTTGAAAATATACCTCAAACAGCATATTTGCATAGTAATTTCTCTGAAATATCTATAAAACACTTTTTTAACAAAACATTTGGATCCTGAGAAAACTTCAACATGTGAAGTAAACACATGAACTAGTATAGTATATGTATCTATTCATGATATGTACTTCAATGATTTCCATAGGGCAAATATCAGCTCATACATTGATTGTACAGTAGTTCAGCATATTTTTTTCTAAGAAGTTTTTATTTTTGGGAAATTTGGTTTTTCTTTGATTACTAGCTGTTTTACTCAAATATATATTTGTTGTTGTACCTCCTAACAAGTCTGATAGGGTCTACTTTGTGTCATTTTGCATCTCAACAGATGGAGTGTTTTAACTGTGCAGCTGTCTTATATCACAGGCTCGTCTATTGGTTAAGTAGTGTATAATGCTATTCACAGTACACAGTCCTTTTTTCTAGGTAATAATGTAGATTGTCTGGACAAAAATACAAAAATGTTTACAGAAATTATTTCTCTTTTGTAAAAAAGGTTACTTAAAATCTGAGTGCACTTTCAACAAGCTATATTCTTACTGAATTTGGCCTTCCCCCTACTGTACCTTTTCTAAAATAACCACCTAGCAGCATAACAGTGCTTCTGCTACTTTAATATAACAACTCTTATAGAAGGTGCTCAGGACTCACAGTGTACGAGCCTGGTCAATATTTTTGAAAAATCACAGTATCACTTTCAAGCTTGTGGCTTTACCATAGTTCCCCTTCATCCTTCTAATCCTTATGCTCCTGTCTGTTTTCAGCACAATATCCATTATGCGATGACAGAAACAGCAGAATACAGTCTAAACTGCTGTCGTGCTCCCAGAAGTCACATATGGAAGAACTTAACAATCAGCAGTAGCTTAGCCACAATTTATAGATGTAACTACATGTTTATCTTTTTCACTTTACACCCTTTGAAGACAGTAAACAGGCTGCTGTGCCCATTTAAGCACTGAGAGGAGAGGTAGCAGACAGATTCAGTGATCGGCCTGCAACAGTACAAAGGCAGTTACTACTGTAAGTGGTCTCTGTTCCTCTCCCAGCTGTCTGAATGATCCACAGGTGAGCAGCAGCCATTCGGACTCTGGCAGCATTATTGGGGGCAGTTTTAACAAATGATGCTCCTCGTGTCCCAGCTGTAATACCCACAGCTCAGCCAATATAGACATATTATTGTGACAAATATACTGTAGACTGACTGTGGGTGGGTTATTTCTTAACAAGTATTATGTGAGTTTGTGTGTGTTTGACTGTCTCCTTAGTATGCACATACAGTACATGTTCAATGTTAGGACTTTTAATTGCATAATTTAGGTGATCCCATACTACTGAATATTCAAGTGGGAAACAACACTCTACTACCTTTCCATATCAGCATGTGTATGTATGAAACAGCATGGTTTACTGTAAGGCTCTTTTACATCACAACAGCATTGTCATAACCAATTGTGGTGAAGGTGGAAAGTAAATATTTATATTTACTGTACCTTACACATTTGTTCAACATCTACTTTATCTCAGCATTTCATTCAATGTTACTGAATACTTTCACTCAAGGAAAAAAACATGTTTAACTCCAATTGTTTTTAGTATCATCCACTCAAGATATGTTTGAGCCTCAACTAAGAAAATTAGACAAAATTTCACAAAAAATCAAAGCTTAGAGAAAATGTGTACTTTGTATTAGTTAAAGTTAAATCAGCTGAATGTACCGTACTATTACATTCAGTAGGATTTTCAATGCAGGATGTACTTTACTGTAAAGCTACTGATACTTTCACTTCTGTAAAGAACCTGTATTCTACTATAGGTGATGTGGTGTGGCAGCTTTTCATGGACAGGAGAGGAGGTGTGAAGTGTCAGAGACACCGGAAATTGCTGTATGCTGTTACAAAGCTTTACATGCCCTGTGTTTAAAGGTGGGCGCAGTTCCTTTAGTTAGTAGCTTCCCAGGCCAACATTAAGGCTGTAAATTATTTGTAGGAAATTCTTTTGGCCAGTAAAATGAAGAGAAGATTTCTGTCATGCTGCAAAGTAATGTTTAGATCAAGTTCCAGTGGGCTGGAGGGAAGAGGAGGGCTAAGTATGGAGTTTGGCAGCAGGTACCTGCAGAACTGCTGCTGTGTGCCTAATGTCTGTCCCGGTTGTGGAAGTGATGGTTTCTGTGTTTCTCTATTGCAACCGCCGCCTCTCCTCCACACACATAGTCCTAATGCGCCTGGGACAACTTTAGCAAGATAAGCAGGATAAGCTCTGACAGGAGCATATTTCCAGAGTTCAAACTAACTGGTGTGTATCTTGACTTTATTGAGCTCGAATTATATCCTGCCCGCCTCCTACACTTAGCAACACTTCCACTTCAAAGTGTGTGAGAGCGCGAGAGAGTGAGTGAAATAGAGAGAGAGGAAGATTAAAGAGTTGGTGTGTGAAATACACAATGTTTGCTCTGTTTGTAACCTGCTTTTTGCATTGATTGACCATCAAAATGCTTTTTTCGCATTTGGTGTAGTATCTATAATGATTCACCTGCATGTGTCATCAGTGCACAGTAGACGTGCACTCAAACACATCTCTCACACAGAATTTTAATGAACTCCAACAAGCCTGCTGTACATTATACTGTCAAATGAGATGTTTTATATATGAATGCACTGCAGGCACTTAATTGCCAAAGAAGTGCTTGTTTTTGCATATGCCTTTACCACACTTTACGTTGACTGTTTATGATTAAATATATTTTTAACAAACCACATCAACCAAATCCAAATCTGCCTGAAAGAAACAGTAGAGTGATTATGTTTCCTGCAGCACAGCCTTTCCTTATGGTTCAATTGCATCATTGTAAATTAGTTTGGCTTTTAAAGCAAATTAAATGATATCAGATGAGGAAAGGATTGGCAGGCATGAGCACATTAGTTTACATCAAAGAACAACAGTATAGTGTTTGGCATTAGGCCTGTGGAAGCAGCACTGTACGGAGCTGTTACTGTAACAAGATGGCAATAGTGCCTGACAAGCCACTACTCAGGAACACACACGCATGCACGCACACACACACACACACACACACACACACACACACACACACACACACACACACACACACACACACACACACACACACACACACACACACACACACACACACACACACACACACACACACACACACACACACAGAGACAAGTTGATGTTGACTTTGTTTAAGGTAAGGCGTGTGTGTGTGTGTGTCTGTGTGTAGGAGGGAGGGAGGGAGAGAGATTGTGAGAGAGGGAGAAACATTTTCACTATGTGGAGCCCGCACCCCTGACATCAGATTGTAGCTAAATGCAGAAGTTTAAGCAGCAACTTTCTTGTGGCTTTCAGACTGCACGTAATGACCACTTTGATAAGATCAGGTAAAACCCATGTGTTAAAAAACCCAACAGCACAAAGCAGGTGTTTCTGTGTGCATGCACCCCTGCCAACCTGGGACCCTGGAGGGACCACCGAGGAAGAAAGAGCAGCCCAGAGCAGAGAGCAGACAAGAGAGGCTTTCAACCTGATCACATTCCGATTCGCATCATACAATACCTGCATCATTATTGTGTCTTTAAAATCACCATTGGCAGTTTGCATGACACAGACCAAGTGACCCAGCCTACATGTCTTCAAAATAGCACTTAATCTTATTTGAATTTCATACTAACCTCTAAACATTTGTCTTTTTTTCAATCCGTGTCGACACTATTATTAGCGCTCAGGCTTTCTCCTTCTCAAACGCACATTCTTATGAAATGCCGCTACTTAAAAATAGAAATACAGTTGTCCATTACTAGCACCCATTGACACAATACCTCCCGTTCCAGATACGTAGCTCCTCCCTGTGTATGTGAATGTGTATGTGTGAGTGTGTATGTGTGTGTGGCGGGTGGGTGACAGCTGGGCTCGCAGCGCTCCGCTCCAGTCTGGTAAGAAGCTTCATCTCCAAATAGGATGACCGTCGGCTTTTGTGGAGGGGACTGAATTATGCGCAGTAGCTAGTTCTGGAACACCCGGTTTGTTCAGTTTACGAGACAGGAGTTTGAAATCCGAAACATTGTTTTTTCTCTCTAGTGTGGATTTCCAATGGATATTCCGATTTGAAGAGGTGTGATTTGAGAGCGGCATGTAACAAAAAGAAGCGCATGAGAAAAGTAGCGCTCGTATTGTTATTCTGACCGAGCACCGTCTGAACCGCTTTGAGAGCCATACCTCATGGATTACTAAAAGATATAGCTGTAAAAACTCCGAGGCATATCCATTCATGAGCTGAAGGTAAGATTTCTTTGTTTATTTCAAACTTTTGGTGCGCGTATAGCCCGTACCAGTGCTTCTCCAGCCCCGGAGGCTTGTTTTCTGAGAAGCCAGGCTGCCGTGCGACAAGTGCACACGCTTCACATGGTTACGTATTTATTAATTTAGGGTGGTTTAGCGTATTTGTAAAGGTTTGTTAAAGTTCTGAGAAAAATTGAAAGTGCCTTATTTTCTAATTAAATGAGAACTGCGATGATTGTCTTCAAGGAAAAATCCCTGTGCAGATACAGCAGACCACATGTTCGTGCGTAATCCCTTTTATGCTGTTTACCCATACGGAATAAAGAAGTGACCGTCTCAAAAAGAGCTATTGCGGATTACATTGTGTCAAAACCTCTTCACTATCATTCGGGGTAGAAGGTCAATTTACGGCAAATAAGAAATGTGCTTGTCGGAACTTGCAGGACCCAGACCGACTGTTTTCCTCTTGCTCCGTCTGACATGCTGTTTTTCATCCTCGTTGAGTTTAAAGATTACAGCCACAAAACTTCCATCTGTAGACTGAAAATAAGAATGGAACATTTTAGTATTTATATGTGTCTAAAATGTACCCATGTTTTTTTGTGAAAACGCTTAAAACAGTGAAGCGATGTGTCCGTTATTACAGTGCATGATGGGCTTTTTATTGGCCATTTATTTCACATTCATGGAAATGAGAATTTGAGCAGCAATTGACATGTACAGTAGACATTTTTGCAATCACACTTTCTGTTTTCATTCTTTATATAAAACTAATCAGAGATTTAATGTTAATAATTAATTAATAAGTCATTTCACAGACACATTTTATTTGTTGGGAATTGATTCGTAGGGTGTGTTCATTGAATTCAAGCTACCAGGAGGCTGAGTGGTCAGTGTTACTCTGGTCCCAAAGATCAATCAAATGTTTGTAATTCTGAGGAGACAAAATTACACCGGTCTCAGAAGTGGATTTGCCATTAAATTAAGTGCTGCCTGCTGCAAATAATTTTTTTAACAAGCTGAGAGAGGAGATAGAGGCCTCAAAAACCACATCCAGCAGCCTGACTGCCAACACCCAGTCACTCCCAGTGGTTTCCCTCTCCTCTCCTCTCCTCTCCTCTCCTCTCCTCTCCTCTCCTCTCCTCTCCTCTCCTCTCCTCTCCTCTCCTCTCCTCTCCTCTCCTCTCCTCTCCTCTCCTCTCCTCTCCTCTCCTCTCCTCTCCTCTCCTCTCCTCTCCTGAAAGATCCCCCCAGAGTCACTGGAAAAGATGGAAAAAGGATTCAGCAAATCTAAATGTAGGTTATAGATTATCAAGTGTGTAAGGGTGATGATATTAATGGGGGAATCTAAGGAGTATTGAATGCTCACGGCAAAATATGCCTTTTATCAAAAGATTGTTCACACATAGTGTTTTGATTTTAGTATTGTCCTATATAAAACATTTAAAAGATTTCATGCCACCACTGAGAAGAAACGGTGTTGTTTTTGATCCTTTTCCCCCCCTGAAATCGTTGGAAATATTTGGTACTTGTGTGTTTTTTTGATCTGCGACCTTAGGTATTTTCCCACTCCTACTGTGCTGAGTGTTACACATTGACATTGAATGTTAAATAGCAGAATGTTTCTATAACATTCGCCTTAAGGCATTCAAATGTCCTGGAGGCATTTTGCCTGAGAAGTTGCACAGGCTGTAAATCCTCCCATACTATTTTGTAAAGGCTACAACACCACAAAACAGTGTGATAATCCTGCTATTAACACAGTATACATTGACATGTTATGGTGCTGATACATGAATTACAGCATGATTACCTTTGTCACAGCAGCTTGCCTGTTCTCCTCCTGGAGAGGCAGAATAGAGCTGAGCGACCAGAGTTGTTGCTTGTACTTGGAGCAATGCTCCATGGAGCATTTGATCCGCAGATCCCCTAACAATAGCAATGGGGATGGCATTGTGTGTGACTGATGTGGATTTGTCCCACTGTACGTGTGGGGGAAAGAGAGCATGAGAGGGAGAGTTAGTATTTACCTTTGCCAGTTAAGGGCAGATGCATTTTGAAAACAGTAGGTTTGAATAATTGATAAATGGCTTTGCTCCTGTTCCAATGAATTGGCCCTCCATTATATGAGACCGGTCAGCTGCTGTTAAAGATTGATCTTCATTCAGACAGTGTCAATAGCCCCCATTCAATAGTGTGTGTATTTATGCATATTTTATGAAAGCCATGTTTTATTGATGCATGTCCTTGGTGTGTGGGCTGGTGTTTTAAAAAAAAACAATTAGAAGGCAAGAAAGCATAAAACCCCAATAACTCATCTTGATGTGATTTATTAATGCTTAACCTATTTCCAGATTCTACATCTTTCTTAATTGCAGTGGCAACAATGACACTATACGCTAATCAAAACAAGTTGTAGAGATAAAAAAAAAAAAAAGGTAAATCATGATTGAGTATATTATGTTTTTAGCTAATATAGTTTTGGATCAGCCTCATAAAAGAAGTGTCTATTTTTGATGAAGCTGTCCATCAGAGATGTTACATGCTCACTTTTGGCTGTGCTCCATTGGCTCTCATTTTAGATTGAGTCTGTTGTGATTCAGAAGGTAAAAAAAGAAATAGGAACATATTTTAACAAGCCATAACAACTCCCACCCTGTATAGAGATTCACTTAAGCTAGTGCTGCTCCACCTCTCTTTTTTCTCATTTTCGTGACCTACTGAAGTTGAAGTCATTATTCGATAAACACTTTTAATTTTATGTAAGAAAACACACTGAATGATATTTTACAGGATGAGAGGAGATGGCACAACTCCATCTATATTTCCATGCATCTTCTTTGTTTGTGCATATGAGAAAGCAGATATTTGATCACTACCTGCCATCCTTTCTAGTTAAGTTGGAACATATCGCTTCCTGTTTATATGAGATGATTAATGGTATTCACTATACTAAAGAGACCCAATACATCTCCTTGTGCAGTATGGTCCAGTGTGCTCTATTCACGGCATGGCCCATTGAAAATGTAATCACTCGCTAATCACTTGCTTCAGCGTGTTGCTCTGCTCTAGTCAGTTGTTCACACACACATGCATGGATGCATGGCGTTCCACTTTCTAAGTTTCATTGTGTTGTTTGAACTGGCTGCTTTCGCCTTAACCCTTTCCTCTCCAAAGAAATGTCTCTGTAGTGCAGCCATTGAAATAACCGTCTAAGTGTAAAATACTCTTCATACTCGTTACATTAGCATAATTGATTGAGCGTGTTGTCTATGCCAAAAATGCCAGCAGCATGAAGGACCAGGCCAAGGCTTTTTTCGGCCGGGTGCTGCAAGTCAGTGGTAGAATTGGCAGTGTCTTTAGTTTTTTTGGCTGTTGGTCCTTGGCAAAGCTTTGTTGTTAAAAATTAAGTCTATTAGAAAGTTATGGCTGGCCCATCTAGGAGAAGATTGCTAAGAAGCCAAACTTGACCACACACGTGCCAAATGAAAACAAAAGCAACATTTAAAATCTACTTATAACACCAGGGTTCTCTTCATGGAAATGCTATATCTGAACTAGTCAGAACATGCAACATTAACACGCACTAATACCTTTGTCAGAGCCGAGTTTGATCGTCTGTCATTACTCAAATGGGATGGAGATGAAATGCATTTGCAGGGATAATCCAAAAGCAGCAGGGCTTTGTGTGATTGCCTGGGAGATGAATGAATGACTGGCCTTGAAAAGAGCCAAGTCTTGTACTACAGACCAGATGATGTATATCGTGGTACACAGCATTAAAGTATGATGTCCTAGTTCCTGTCCTGCTGTTGTGCTTTTACAGGTGAGAGCAGCCAGCTGTGAGCCAGGAAGAGAACCACAGTCTGTTAAGTCTCATTAGGGCCACATCCGCTGCTGAGGCTGTGGTTATTTATGTGGTTAGTTTGCTTGTTGGAAGCCAATAAGGAAGTGTGTGTCATGAGTGTGTTAAGCATCAGGTAAACACCATCTTGTTTAGCTCTTTAAGTGCTAACTCTGCCGATGTGCCACTGTGTGGTGTGAGTCAGACCCTCTCACGTTTTCTGTGTGTATATTACCACTAAGCGCAGAGGGTGGCTCATGGTGGGGGGGTTTGAGTGTGTGCATTTGTGTACTCTCTGTGACTCTGCGTGCATGTTTGCGTGGCGTTGTTGGAGTGCATCTGTCCCTCCTCCCCAGGCCCCAGCGATTGGCACTGCATCTCTCATCTATTAATCATAGAGCGCTTGCTCTCTCATTCCGTTGCCATAGTTTCAGGACCTGAGACAGTGTTGGGGTGCATGGCTGCCAGTAGAGAGGAGAAGTGAGAGGAAGGGGACAGAGGAGGAAGGAAGAGAAAAAGGAAAGGACATAAGTGGGGATGCAGAGGGAAGGAGGAAACAATATACGGTATAGCAAGGGAAAAGCAAAGTAATTGAAATAGAGAAAAGGAGGAAGAGAAGTGATTGAAATAGCAATAACAGGCTCACACACCGAGCAGGTCCTCACACTGTGGATGAGAGTACTTGAAGAACCAAAATGGATTCCATTTTTATCTCAGCAGTGAACCCTCTGTCTCCTTCTGTGCATGCTTCTTTTTAGTCTCTCTCTCTCACACACACAGACACACACCTAAACGCTCTCTGTGCTCCATCCTAAAGAGAGCAGGAGAATATTTTCACAGTACGCAGCATCTTGTGAATAACTGCGAGTTCGTGGGGCTGGTGCATCTCCAGTGTGTTACAGTACATTGAGCGGCTGTTATTTCACCTTGCTGTACAATGGAGAAGCCTTCCACTGAGCTGAGATGGAAGATGGGCCGGAGCCCCCTGTTTCATGCTCAGTTGGATGTGTTGATGGTAAAGCATGCTGAATTCATGTGTTATTCAATGACGGATAGCGATGGAAATAAACCACTATGGAAATGTCCAAGGCAGGGAATACCTCTTGCTATCAAGCCTGGTCTCTCTGTATTTATCTGCCTGTCCCTCTCCCTTTCT